TATTTGACGTGAGGATAGTGGACTCTGATGCTCCTTCTTATGTTAGGAAACCACCACTACAAGTTCTTAAAACTGCTGAAAGAGAGAAGAAGTTAAAAAATCAGGAAGCTTGTCACTCTATCCATTCTAGCTTCACTCCACTCTGTATGACAGTAGATGGTCTGTTGGGTCCAGAATGATAACAAATTTATGTATATTTATAGCTAATGGTGTGCACTTCTGCACCTGGAATGGGTATAGATGTTCCTAATATAGACTAGGTTGTTAAACTTGGTTAGCACATTTGAGGAATTAGTCCAACAGTTTGGAACGGCTGGAAGAGATGGCAGAAAGGCAAAGGGTATTGAATGCTATGAAATTTTTGTGATGCAACATAATTTTGGTACAGGTCTCCTTTTTTGTGACAATAACCTCTAGCATGCTTTATTTTGGGGTAAAGATACATTGTGTAAGTCATATGATGAGAAAAAACTGCAGTTATCAAAATTTCAAGATGTTTGTAGGTACATGTATATCATTTTTATTACCATGTGCCATCAATTTTATGTTATACCCATATACAGGTATGCTTTTGCTCATCATCATTGACGAGATACCAGCTAGTCCTGTAAACTACTGGATAAAAGAATTAAATCTTCAGGAAAATGATTGTTTACAGCTAGAAGGAACCCATCACCTTTCAGACAAGCATGTCATAGCTACTGCTAAACTACTGTCAAAACAATTTCCAGACATGCCAATGATTCAGTCGTGTTTGTATACTCAGAAACTAAGTCTCATTCAGCTGGCTACAAATGATTCATTATTTTTCCACAACTTTGGGGACCATTGGGTTACTAGTCATTTTATGGATGGCATTGCTTTTCTTTATGACTCCTTCTACACAGAGATCATTCACTCAGAGTTAAAGAAGCAGCTCATTGCCCTCTATGGATCTGCTATGGTAGAAGTACCGTGGTTGGTGAAGCAAAAGGTGATAAGGATTGTGCCTGCTTTGCAGTAGCATACGCAGTATCTATTCTTTATGGAAATGATCCTGCTAACAATATAGTCGATCAGTCACACATGAGACAACACATGATTGAATGTCTCAAAAACATATTTTACATGCTATTCCCATCTATGACATGAAAATCAAGATGCAATGTATCAGAATATGTTACCCAACTACATTGATTATTACAAACAAGTTAACAAATGTATGTTATTTAATGTTGTATTGGTCTATGTAGCTAATTATACTTGCAAAATGCATGGTGGAATGCTAAAGGTGACCAAATAAATGTTGCGTAGCTATCCCATATAGCAGGAAATTTTAGAGGGAGTTGAATTCGGCAAATTACTATATTTTGGTAATTGGCAAATTTGTGGTCACATACCATTGAGCATGCATATAATGGCTTGAAATGGTGGATTTTATTTTGGAGTTTTGCTATCAAAATGCCAAGTTCACCAACTTCAATTCCCTCCAAAATTTTCCACTACGGTATGTGAGGGAAACAAAGTGCTGTTACATTATGAAAAAAAGTGCAGAGGGCACAAATTCTTCCCCATAGTATTATAGAGACAAAATAGGGTAGCAAGCATTAATTCTTCCCTTAAGTATTGTAGGAACAAAATAGTGCAATTCTTCCATATAGTATTGTAGGGACAAAATAGTGCTTGGTACTAATTTCTGCCTACATAGATAGGTCAAATTGTATATGTGTATAATAGTTCCTAGTGACACCATTATGTAGGAAGGAAATAGTGCATTTGAACACTATTTCCTCCCTCTATAATCATGGTTTTTAAATTTAGTGACATACTCTACCGATCGTAAAAAACAGACATACCCCAAGTTACACAAAAGCTTCAAAAACGTTTGCAAAACAGCTGATGGCAATTAGATATATAAGTATAAAACAACCAAAGACTTAGCTGTAGCAACAAGTGAAGTGATGCTACAAGTTACAAAAAGTCTATCCATTCAGGAGTCATGCAATAAGTAAAATAGCTGTTTGGCTTGCTATTAATAGTACTACTTCATCTCATAACAAGACATTTTCCTTCAATTCCACTTAAGATGATTGACAATGAGCCACAACTCTCGTTATTGCCCTCACCCACGCCATAGGCTTATAGGAAAGGGTACTGCTCTCCTTAATTACATGTACTTCTCCTGCAACTCTTCTATGGACCATTCCTATCCACTAGCTATGCTTAACTAACACACAGAGTTACATGAAATCATACCTTTTCCCAACTTTTCTTTCCCAAATGATGAAATCTTTCTTTTCTTAGGGTCCTCCTGTCAACTTTTCTTGTCTTAGCTCGTGTCTTTGGCATCTTCTATAGATACATCATACATCTTTGTTAGAAACATTCAATTTTACCTCAATTATTAAACAGGGTCCAACAAAAGTAACTTGGATAAAACAGCGATACACAGTTAAAGTGAACAGTCAACAGTCTTATAGCCGCACCTACTCAAATTTATTGCATTATAGATACTACATACACACATGGATAGCAAACAGGAAGTGATATTGATGTGCCATATGCTATGCTCTTGACGCCGGATATGACTCATAGAGCATATGATGAATAATCTACACACGTAAATAAGCATGGCCATTAGCAATGAAGACAGATAGTGAGGAGTTTCACTTCATTTAGAGCCAAGTTCTCAGTTGGATGAGCTCCAGGTGAATACTTCTACCACCAAGTAGGTCAAATCACACATTTATTTTGTGATGAAGTCAAAAGGGGATAAAACAAAAGCTCTAGAGACTATTGTGTATTACATCAAACATAAGATATTATTTCATATGCCTATAATAATAATTTTAGTCATAATTTAGGTTCAACAGATGCTTTTTGCCATCTATATATACAAAGTTTTATCAAAACCTTCACTCTTTCAGAACAAAATTCATCGTGTGCAAAGTTAGCGTATTCCCTTCCTGTTTCTCACTTAATCATGTGAGACTAAATTATCATAAACTTTAATTCATAAGAAAGTAATCATATTCATGGAGACTGTAATAATATTCATAAATGCAATATTATATTTATAGCAAAACATTAATGCTGTCACTTGCTTGCAAAAGCTACAATAAGTAGAATTATCAATAAAAACAAAACTGCATTTAGTAATGAAAAAGTAGCAGTGCTATCTGGTAGAATCAATAATGGCAAGTTTCCTACTCGCTTATTTGTTGAAATCCATGCTTCACTTAAGCTGCCATACACAAGGAAAATGAGAACATCAACTTCCATTGCAACCGAGTCTGGAATGAGAGAAGGGAGATAAAATTACCTAATTACTAGAACAAGTAAGTTCCTAAAGAATTAAAAGATATGCACAAATATTTAAAAAATATTTGAAGTTCAATGCATAATTGATAAACAGTGCATGGTAAAAATTTAAGAGCAGCACAAGTGGTACAATTTTTTAAAATCCTTTTAAGTTTCGGTATTTATAATTTAAAGACAGACATTACTGCATAGCCAGTAATTTTTGTGGGTTGCAAAGTTCATGGATTTCGTGGATTCCTTATTGATTCATGAAAATTAATTTAGCACGGTACCTGCATGGTACACGTGGTAGAATACACGAAATTCAAATCTGCGAATTGGATTGTTAGTAGATTTCGCAAAATATAGGACCCAAAGAAATTACCAGCCATACGGTATTATATGTACATGTATTACAAAAGGCTTACTGATACTGCATTGTGTCCATTCTACAGGTACAATGGATAACAAACAGTAGTCCCCCAACTCAACAGTCAACAATCATATGATTAACACATGTCAGGCTGAGGCTGTCCTTGCCTGTAGCCAATCTATGATAAAGCAGTCAAAAAATTATAGCTACATGTACATGACATCAACTAACTTTCTCTAACACAAGCATCCGTGACTACAAGACGCACCTAAAAGTGTTAAAATTAAGTTGTTAGTACTTGTACTTTACCGTAAATATCAATAAATGACTTTAAAATACACAAATCCCGATATACATGTACAAGGGAGTGGCGACTCCACCCTGTCCAACAAAAGCAGGAACTTGTCCATCACTACAAGACGCACCTAAAAGTGTTCAAATTAAGTTGGTAATACTTGTACTTTACGGTAAATATCCATTAATCCCATTAAAATACACAAATCCCGATATACAAGGGAGTGGTGACCCTGTCCCGTCCAACAAAGATCAGGAACTAGTCCGTCACTACAAGACGCACCTAAAAGTGTTCAAATTAAGTTGTTAGTACTTGTACTTTACCGTAAATATCAATAAATGACTTTAAAATACACAAATCCCAATATACATGTACAAGGGAGTGGCAACTCCGCCCCGTCCAACAAAAGCAGGAACTGGTCCATCACTACAAAACGCACATAAAAGTGTTCAAATTAAGTTGGTAATACTTGTACTTTACGGTAAATATCCATAAATCCCATTAAAATACACAAATCCCAAAATACAAGGGAGTGGTGACCCTGTCCCGTCCAACAAAGATTAGGAACTGGTCTGTCACTACAAGACGCACCTAAAAGTGTTCAAATTAAGTTGGTAGTACTAGTACTTTATCGTAAATATCAATAAATGACTTTACCATTTTAGGTTGTAGACATTAATCCATTCAGTTACTCCTGGCTCACAAGGATGAATTACAATAGCATCATATATCTACATGTACACACAGTATGTTATACAGTTGTATCAATTAAAGATGAAAAATTACTTAATGATCATGTACATGTACATTGTACATCATGCAAATGCAAATTTCAGGAATTCAAGAAACAAAAGTAGTAAAATTACATACCGTACATTTGAAATGAAGAACTACACATCCTGTATGCACATGTACATGTACATAGGTATCAAGCAGGCTTAAATAATTATTTGAGTGTGGTCAAATGCTTAAATAGTACTACAATAGAGTACTCGTACCCATACTCAATACAATTTGCAAAAATGAGGGACTTGTACTTGTACTCATTTAAAAATTTTAACAGGTACGTACTTAAATAAATGTAAGATTAGTTGACACTGTGAAGCAAATGACCTTCAGTAAGCAACACAAAGCATAAAAGTGCAAATGAATTATTGTTTGACATACATTTTTGTATTATTGTATGTTATTTTATGATTTAAATTGCCAAAAAATATTTTTAAATGTATATAATTATATGTTACTACTATACAGCGAAGGCATGTAATATAAAGCAGTTCATGAGTCAATGTCCATTCACTTGATCCAATCCAAAGATCAGAGATGTAGCAATACATAAGTTGCTTAATGATCAATGATTTGTTTCTTATATGTTAGCAGTGCAATTCTGACTGTTGTCTGGTATCAGCAGGTAGGCATGCACAATTACTTGTTTTGAACAATAGAAGTACTAATATTGAATGAATAACTACAGAGATAATCAGCTAAACATACTTTCTGCATGCTTAATGTGGGGGTGGGGCTGAAGGTTTTTAGCTGAAAACTCCAAGAAAAAACATCACAAGTCCCAAAAAATGCAATGAAGTTCTTAATACAATAATTAACTAGTGCTACAGCAAGGTTAAAAGTTGAATGCAATGGTCAATAAAAATTTGTCTTAGCAGAAGCTAATTTGCTTTTCAAGCCCTGTAAACCAATCAATAGTTATATACATTATGTCTGAAACAAAGTTTTGGTCAAAAGTAGTCAAAATATGAAATTTGGTTGCAACAACCTTTCAACCATGCTGTAGCACTTGCTAATTATTGTATTAAGAACTTCATTGCATTTTTGGGACTTGTGATGTAAAACATTGGAGTTTTTAGCTAAAAACCTTCAGCTTCTTTCCCTCATTAAGCAAGCAGAAAGTATGTTTAGCTGATTATCTCTGTAGTTGTTAATTCAATATTAGTACTCTTATTTTTCAAAACAAGTAATTTTGAATTCCTACCTGCTGATACTGGACAACAGTCAGAATTGCACTGCTCACATACATGAAAAAAATCATTGATCATTATGCAACTTATGTATTGCAAAATCTCCAATTGTAGGAGTGGATCAAGTGAAAGGACCTTGCCTCATGAACTTCTTCATATTACATGCCTTCGCTGTATAGTAGTAGCAAATAATTATTACATTTAAAATTTTTTTTTTGCAACTTAAATCATACAATAACATACAAGAATACAACAATGTATGGTACAACTATAATTCATTTCCACTTTTATGCTGCGTGTTGCTTACTGAAGGTCATTTGCTGCACAGTGTCAACTAATCTTACATTTAAACATTAATGATTATAAAAAAATAATTATTTTAATCAGTTTTTAGTCTTAGTGTTGTCTTGATGCTATTGTCCTAAAACCAAAGAAAGTAACATAAGAAGGGAAATATGTACTAGAGCTTACTTGAATTATGTAAGACTCATTATGTGATGACATCAGGAGTATCTTGGTCCATTGCAAGATAGAGGTACATAGCAGGATTGAGGCACTAAAGAAAAAAAAGGTTAGAAAGAAAGAGAGGTGCATAGCAATGAATTGTAATGGTAATTCAAATTTATTACAAAAGAATGATTTTCAGTAATGTTAATGTTGTGATAATTTGTTTATTTGAGACATAGTGGCAATGGCATTCCTGTAAATGTACATGTACATGTACCTCTGCTTTACTCAATTAGTGAGTCAGTGTCATACATGTAGGCCTGTGACAATTACAATTACAATTAGTCAATTACCCAGGAATCCCCTGATTGAAATACATGTACATTACATATCACTTACCATCATTATGCTTCAGCCAATGCAACAAAGCATTAATGTTACTTTGTTGGACATATCTTAAATAATCAAATGTACATGGATTCAACAGAATACTATACTCCCTCTCACTCTTAGTACAAGCACTGTACACTAGAGCACATTAGTGTGCATTGTGTCTTACCATTACAATTTTGTTAGCATTTATTTGCATTCCTGTTCCCACATGATTGCAGCTAGCAAATGACAATGTCTGTGATATACCATTGTACTATAAAATAATAATAATATTAGTAATAATAACGATGTTTATATAAATTATGTATATGTATGGAATTTTACAGTTGCTTACTGATACTAGAACTGTGTTAACACAAGAAAGAGAGAAGACATGAGAGACCTAGCAAAGGAATGAGAGAAAGCAAAAGTTAGTTATAATTATGCATATGTGTGTATGAAGAGGAGAGAAAGGCAAAGGAGAGAAAGGAGACAAAGATGCACAAGGACAGGAGTCAAGGAACACAAACATGAGAAAACAGAAATATGCAGTACCTATTAATACAGATGAACTGTTTATTATAAACGAATATAACATTGCCAATAATACTTACAGTCTGGG